TTAGGGGGGGTCAAAATAAAAAATTTCGGTAATAAGGTAATATTGTGGTAATATTTATTGAGCTACAAGTTCATAATATTTTTTCCAGGGGAGGGGGGGCAAGTGCCCTGTCTTGCCCCTCCCAATGGGCGCCCATGCCTATTTGCTATATAAAATCACTATTTTTGTCGTTGGTTATTGTAACCAGCTGCAGCTAAGCAAAGCTTTATACACCTACTAATCCTACCTACGCTTTTACCACTCAGAAAACTATATCTACACATAAGACAACACACTCGAGCACATAATATATTTAATATTTAATAATAAAACAAAAACATGTTGAATTATCTGTTTTGACATGACTGCATAACTAAAGGCGTGACTAGACCTTAAAGTTAGAAGGGGCTTCTGTCCTAGCATTTTCAAAATAAGTTTAAAAAAGTTGGGGGCTCAGCCCCACACACTCTCCAACGCATGTTATATTAATTGTTACTAAATTTATATTGAATTCAACAAACATTTTATTTGATTATTATTTATTGTAGCGTGTGTACTGTGTACGAACCATTAAAAAAGTGGAATAAAACATTAAATTATTAAAATACCTATATTATTTTAGCTACAAATTCAAATTTTTAATTTTCTTATAACATAGGTACCAAAATTAAATAATTTATATGGGTAACCTAATAATAATGCACTTGTCATTACGGTTTGAGCCTCCATTCTGTATTGGCATTTTTTTTTTAAATTGTCTTTATTTAGAACATTTAATAAATCTTTTTCAATACCTAGCTATAATAGACAACTTAGAAGATAGATTTGACAACAGAAGTTGACCTTAGGTTAGTATTTATTCCACGTATTATTGAAACTATTTACTGTTATTTCTCTAGATGCTACACTTGTTGAAACAGAAAGTGATAAATGTAGTATTTTTTTTATAAATTTGGAAAACAGATTTTTGTGTAATATGCTTTGACCGTTTTAATTTTCCCCGATCATTGTAAAATGATGAGAATGAAATTAAATGATTGACAATCAATTATCTAACCAACATTTTTTATTTTAGTACGGTTTCATTTATTTTATATTTGTTAAAGCCTGAAAACATAATAAAACAAAATTTGACTAATTTATTATTATAATAATAATGATATTTACCAGAATAAGAACTATCAAACATAAGCGTTGTACTTAGGAATATCAAAGGACGATAATAAATGATAATATAAAATCTGTTTAGGTTTTTAGCTAAAGACCCTTAAAATAAGCCGTCGACAAGCACAGCGGTTGTTATGCGGTCATCGTTACTTGCCAGGCCGTACCCTGTGGGGATGCTCAATCACCCTCGATTTTTTTTGTGTAATATTATGTCATGGTGAAATAACTCTTTCAGTCTAGAATACAGCGTTCTACTTTATAAATAACAATACATGGTAAATTCGCTTCGGGTGTATCAACCTGATGTCTTGATAATATTAATTATTAAACATATAATACATTACCGCCAGAATGTGTAATCATACAATTCCCCCCCCCAAATTAATTTCCAGTTACAGCCCTGACTTACTAGTTAGCCGTTATCACTGTTCGTACAATAATGTTACAAAAATAAAATCATGAGTCTATTCTTCTGGGTGAAAACTATTTTTGTGTTTACTTTATTGACAACTAGGTACACCGACTCATATCACACAAATTATATTATATGGTTTTAATAAAAAAACGAAAAGATATTTTAAATTAAAATGTATTAATATAGCTATCGTTGGAGGGAACACAGGAATTATGACAGGGAGGGGGGCGAAAATAAAAAGTTTAGGGGGGTTAGCCCCCTCCCCATAGTTATGACTACGTAGCATAGCACAGTTTGGTCACAACACAATGATTACCTTTTAATGAGTCATTTTCACGGGCGGGAGCCTTTTCGGCCATTCTGTAATAACCGTTTTCGGTCAGTATTTTGTTCATCAATATAAGATTTTAAAATTAGAAATACCAAAGTTTATTATGTTTCTTTTTTTCATCCATAAATCACTTAAGTCCAAACGGCAAACACCCATGCCAATTTACAGTTGATTAATAATTTTAAATGATTTATATTTACCTTATTCAGTTTTGTAATATTTGATTATTATTTACATTAATTTGTCAATTAGATTGAATTAAAATCGTAGCTTAATGATCAGTTATATCATAAATCACATCTTAATATACACAAATCAATTATATTATTATTTATGTTTTTGATGAAAAAATGAGCAATGCAGGTTCTGGAACGATTAGTAATTGTGATAAAATTGTTAATGCACGATAATTACCTATTTGAAGCCATAATGTTTAATATTATTGTTAATTCATATTTTATACACAAAAGAGTTTTTTCAATTTTATATTAAATTCATACATTTGTAGTCTAATTTGCATTCTGTGCAGTCTTAAAGGTGTTTCTATCAATGTTTCTTTAAATATATAATTTATATAGGTAATAAAGGCTTATGATCATTTTCTACAGTTATTTTCCTACCATTAACAAACTGATGGAAGCGTTCAGAACCACAAACCATTGCATAGGCATCTTCTCAATTGGAGAACATCTTGACAGTACCTCTGTTAAGGCTTTACAGTTTAGACACATAAGCAACTGGTAAATTAGGTATCCTGCAGCAAAACCGCACCTAATCCATAGGTAGGTACTGTGAAACATCAATGGATGCAGATCTTTACTTGGATAGTAATACTTTAATATGTAAGAACTTAATATGAATCTTCTTTTAATTTATTTAAAATATTTTCCTCATTCAAGCTAATCTGAAAGTTAGAATTTTGTTTTAGAACATTTCTTAATGGTATTTTTTTGTCTGATGCATGAGTTATACATTTTGATAAATAATAAAAATCATTTAAAACCTTTTTTTACTTTTTGGTTGTTATTTCTGTAATTGCTTTTACCTTATCAGTGGCTGACCTAACACCAGTACCTACTTAAAAATTCATGACCAACAAAAAATAATTTACTTACCAAAAATTGACACTTGTCTTTATTTAATTTAACATTATTATTTACTAATCTATGCAGAACATTCACTAACACGTGAGGTTCTCTCCTTGCTTCTTCCTGAAACACTGATATAATCCACGTATACTTACACTTCTTCAATTCCTTCTAATAATTTGAAAAAGTGTTTATAAAATACCTCTAGTGCTTCATTCAGTCCCAATGGAAGTTGACAAAAATAACTTCCTAAAAGAGTGTTAAAAGTTGTTAACTTAGAGCTCTGGAAATCAAAAACAAATAACCCCTAGGCACTTGACATTTTTATCAAATGTAATATATAAGGTGCAAAACAAGTACTAATTGCATTTTATTCAATAAAATACATTTACTAAAATACAGGCTAAATTACAGGCCATAAGAAAATAATTATTATAAATGTAAATTTATGATAAGGTACAATCGTTTTATGCGTATCTGTATTAATTTATTTTTTATTTAGGTAACAATCGTGAGTTATGGTTTTGTGTAATTGGGATGAAATAAATAATCAGTTATACAAATATAGATGTTATATACTCTGGTCTTTCATATAACTATTTATTTTATTACATTAAGTATTAACCAAAAAATGTGTATGGAATAATAATGTTAGAAAAGCACTAGATACCAATTAATAAAATGTTAACCAAAGTAATAATAATAATAGTGGTAATTGTATTGTATAAAATAATATAAACAGAAACAAAAAAAAGAAGGCAAAGAAATTATACAAAATAAGTAGGTAATACAGTTAATTATAATAAATAATAATACTGTGAATATTTAAGTTTAAATGGAACGCATTTTAAGATACATATAATATACTTATGAGTCAAGACTCATATTTTAATAAGAACAAACTAATTAAACAAACACAAATAATAAAAATAAATTTCTTTGGTTTCTTATATAATTTTAAAAATTAATACTAAATTAGTCATAAATTATAATTTTTTAAGAAAATGGGAACTAACATAAATAATTAGTAAATTAACTTATTATAAAAGACAAGTTACATTAAGTTCAAAATAAAAAATATAATTCTAACCAACATTTAATTTTAAATGAAATGAAAATCCTAAATAATAATATAAATGTGAGTGGAAAATAATTCATTTTGAGATTGTGAATATTTATATATATATAATTATTATAAACTGGTAAAATAACTTTTGTGTTTATTATTGTAAGTTAGATACATTTTTAAAATGAAGAATTTTTTTAAAAAATTGTTAGGTAACATAAAAATACAAAATCAAATCAGTGGAGGGATATACAAAATATAAATAATAACAAAAAAAGTCGGACATACCTATTTTAAATTTGAAGTGAAAACAAATATTATATAATATGCATGTGTATAATAAATGTGAAAATGTTTTACAACCTATATATGAATACACCGTAGACCATCAAATTATTAAAAACAGTTATAAAAATAACATATTTTAAACAAACTTAACTTGTTCACTGCCATTGAGCTTTTTTTGAGCTGCCAAATTGTTTAATACTTCTTTACAGTAAGAGTTCAGTAATATAACTCGTTATAATTAGTAATAATAGTACAAGTATATTATAATAATATTTATCTCAAATTCAATAATATGAACGAATTAATTGGAGTTTCTAACATCAGTAATAAAAATAACTAGGCAAATAATCAACACTACTGCATTTGAAAATGTGATAAAGTTTTCATAAACATTTTTTTTCTGTTATTGATTGAAAATTAAGTAGTCTGAATACAACCCATGTAAATTGTAACAATTAAAGAACAAATAATTCTGATGTTTAGAAAAACAAAATTACAACCAATGAGAAACACATATTTCCTTTCTTACAATTTTAAAATTTAATACATATTTTGATTTTATTATAGTGCTTTATAGAATAAAACAATTTAAGCTTTTATCTAACAGGTATATAAAAACTATAATATTTATAGTATTCACAATAAAGGAAAATAATTAATTGCTGTGTTAATTATTTGACATAAATATTATTATAATATTGTTATAGTGATTATTTTATTGGCTATATAATTATTAATTAAATATCGATTTATGCAAAATAATGTGAAATTACATAATTAGTAGTTATTTTTTAGCCTTTTCCACTAATTTAGATGGTTAATAACGTTAATTTTAGATGTAATAATAAATTTTAATATGAATAAAGTGAAACATGGTAACATAACAAAATAGGAAAAAAAAGTAAAATTAATCTGTAAAATGAATAATGTTGTTTGTAAATTTTTGCATCAAATGTCCACCAATACTTGTCATATCATCATCATAATTATCAATGTTGTACTGCTCTTCATTGAATGCATCAAGTTCATAGTCAAATCTATTGAAAACCAATAATTTATAGTAGATAAATGATACTCGTAAAATAATAATTACAAACCTATCTTCTAGATTTCTGCTTTCTGGCCGACTACTATTGGTGTGTGATTTTGTTGACATTATCTCAATATTATCATCTTTATCATACATAAAATCTACAAAATAAACGTAAAAATATACTTTAATATAAAGTAAATATAAAACAGCATATAAAATGTTTACCATCTTCGGGCATCAATATTGCTTGATGTACATAACTGTATAAATTTATTTCATTATTAGGGTCATATTTAGGCTTTATACTTGGCACATCACATTCATTTTTCATCATATTTAACCAATAAGCATTAAACCAGCAAAACTTTGCAGCTCTTATTTTTTTAGTCCACATTTCATCAAATTCCTTAAAAATAATATAAAATTATAATTTTAGCATATCAAACATATATTTTTAAATTTCTTCTTAAGTATCAGCATCGTATTTATTATTTCTGATGTCAACATCCTTTTTTCTCATTGAATACTGCACCATATTCAAAAAATGAATCACTTATTTAATTATATTTTTAAGCTAACCATAGTATATTGATTGTTGCTAAACATTTTCAAGTATTGATATATGTTTTTCTTACATTGTGCTGTTTTTTAGTAGACTTGAATAAAATATAATAAAACATAAATATTATATTTAAGAGGATGTCAGCTATAGACCTTATACTAATAGACGGAGCATGCATGGCCAGAGGGGTTGGGTAGTGTGGTCATACCAATTTGAGTTACATACGATATATATATAACACATTTATATATTATATAAACTGAATATTATACAGTAATAAATAGTTTATTCTATCATCCAGTGCGCACGTGTTGTATGATGTACTACCTTCATTAGTGCTGTCAAGCGTGGACACTGGACACCGTAATTACATTCACGTCCCGTCTTTTAGTATAAGGTCCATGGTGTCAGGGTAATATTTGTTTTTTCTCTCTGATAATACCCATGTACAGCCTACCAAATATATATTCAGCAGAAAAATATTAATATTACCAAAATATTTCTCCTATAGTCAAACATTACCTGTGTTGCTAATTTTATGATATTTTAATTTTTATGTAAGTTATGTGCATATAAATTATTACAATATAAAAATTCTTATAAATTGTATAAAAATTAAAAATGTGTAGTGACACTGGTGATGTTCTTAACTCAAAGTTTGATAATATATGAAATCACTATAATACTTAAAGTAACAAAATAGGGTTGATTCTGCCAAACATATAATTGTTATGATGCACGTGGGTTAGAAAAAAAAACAATGGCGAGTCTACATCCTCTGAACAAATCAATATGCTTAAACATTCAAGCACGATTAGAAAAGTAAATAAAAATAAACATAAATAATTTATTTAGTATAGCATAATATTCAGAAGTATTAGTAACAGTTTTCATTATAATAAAAAAAAAAACTAATTGTCTTTTTTTATGTGTAATTAAAACAATTGATATTAATTTTAGTTATTTAAACAGCCCTAATACCTATAGTCTAAACCTTATGTTATAATATTAATTATACCTTAATAATATCAAGACAGTAGTTGCTCATTTTACGAACTCGAATGTTTGGATCATGCATTAAATTGATTATATAAATTGGACATTCTGAAAATAAAATATGAGCACATAAATACATAATCAAATAAAAATTTTGCTAAATAAGTATAAAACTTAAATTAAATATTTTTATAGTTAAGTGTGTTTATTATTTATTACCAGTGATGGGTAACAAAACTATGGTTAAAATGTAGAAGTCATATGAATATAATTTAAAATACATACATTTAAAAAATATATTCATTGATTTGTCAATAACTAATATGGACTAATCATGGGCTGGCCAATCACTATATAATATATATGTATATAACTTTTGTGTTGTAATTAGTTACATTTTTAAAAGTAACTAGTATCTTTTTTAGGAGTAACTTATGTTATTAATAGATACAAGATAATAATTATATAATAATTTGTTTTTTTTTTAATTTTAAAATTAATGCAATATAATTTTTTGACTGCAGGATGTTATAATTATGTGTCCCGTTTAATACACTATAATTAGAGAATATTGAACTAATACAATGAACGGCATTAGGGCAAGGTTATTTAACAATATTTTTAAGTTTTAATACTATGAGATGGAATTTAAAATTAAAATGATAAAAATAAATTTTTAGCTTGTTTAAATAAATATTTAGACATCAATATGTATTTGTAAAGAACAGTGTAGATCTATTTTATTCTCTTAGATTATATTATACTATACTCTGTACAAATTAAGAAATATAGTCGATGGTGACTAGGTCTTGCCAGACCGCAGTGAGGCAACCCCAGTTTAAGACCCTCACAAAGTCAACTATCTGAATACCTGCATTATAGTATTGCCACGCCAATGTGTACAAGTTGGCCTTCAACTACGTTTCTTAACTTGAACATAGTACAGTTTATGATCTAAAGCTATTCTGCACTAGTTGAATGATGAGTATTATTTTTCTGGTTTAATAAAGTTCTTTATCATGGAATATGATTAATTTCACCGACCAGGTTTAGAAATATGTTATTTATTTTAACATAAATATGATAGTATCAATATACAATCATAATCTTTTAGGATTGACATATCAATGAATATGTATTTATTGATATTAATACATTTTAATTTGTAGATTTAATTTAAATACGGAATAATTGTTGGTTGCTCGTAATGATTAGCCCACCTCATTCACTATACACTAAATAAAAAAAAACAAAGTTATTTATTGAAAATATATTATGGCAGGTGTATTATACCTTCTATAATAATTTTAAATGTAAAAACCTATTCAAATATTTTAGAAAAACATAATTAATTGAATTGTGTTTTTAAACCTGTATTTTGTATAATATAATCTCCTGTAATTGGATGACACATAAGTTGATATAGAAGGTACATAATTTGTATTGCTAATTCGTCATCTCCCTTTTGATCTGCAACAAATGTAAATAAATAAAATAAAATATTTTGAATTGGTAAATGCATAATGATATTTTTCATTTAACACTATAATCCTTTTATTAATTGAATCCTTATTATTTAATAATACATTCATAAATTGGATATGATTTAAAACTTTAGAACTCAACTTATTTTGTATTGGGTACTAAATATTTACTTTTTAATAAATTAATAACTTGTTGAATTGTTCCATGTTCATACAGTAATTCACCACAGTTTTCATCCTTTGATACAGTACCCAATAGTTTAATAACTTCTATCAATAATCTTGCATCTGTTACAGTTTGATTTGGTTTACATGCTGAAAAGATAAAAATTCAATATTTCATCATGGAGATTTATATGCACAAAAATCTTTAAAACAAGCTTCTGAAAAGACTGTAGTATACTACAAAATATGTACTTAAAATTAAATAAAAACATGTAGAATACAATTAAAGTTATTTTATATAAGAATGATCTAAATTGGGGGAAAATTATCAAATTTCAAATAGCTTATTTCAATATATGCATATGCATATGTATATTTGCAATGTATACATTTTAATTTACATACAAATGTGGTCCCTTTTTATGAGATATTGTTTACATTGAATAATGTGTTTAAAGGCTATATACTATTAAAAAAAAAAAAATACTATACCACTATTCACAAATTGTACCATCCATGAAATTAAATTATTTGACTCCAAAAGTTCTTTAAAATCTACTTCTGGAACGTTTACATTAGCAATAATTCCAACACATTCGATTATGCATTCAATATCTTTTAATATAGTAACTAAATGAGCAAAATGTCCAATAAGTTCCTGTAATATGTATTTAAAATTAAAAATGAATAAAAATTATTATCTAGTTTATAAAAATAGAATGGCAGCAGCTTTTTAATAAAAAGCATAAAATGTTGTAAATATCACTATACTACTTGGCTACTAAATAACCTTATTTTTGGTAATGCATAACTAAATCATTGATGCTATTAATACAAAATTATTCAAATATATCACTACAATATTTTATTAAAGCAACTTTCTAATTGTATAATGACAAAATATTTGTATACTCAAATTATTTACAGAAAGTAAAAATAAAACTTAAAAATGTTGCTAAAATACACAATTCACAAACATATAATTACAAATAAAAGTTTTGGTCATTAATTTTCTTTATTTGATAAGTAAAATATTTGATTGAGTGTATCAACTAGATCAGTAAATTACTGTTTTCATATAAAATGTAAGCTACTGCTATTCTTTTTATAACATAATAATACATACTACAAATTGAGGTTTTAAAGACTCATGACTAGACATGTTGTGAAGGATTTTAAAATACATTAAGTCTGATGTATCAATAGCTAACTGTACAAAAGGTTTCAAACCTTGTTTTTCAATTAAAAGTTGTGAATTTCGTTCATTTAGAGTTAAATTTGTGCATAATGCAGCCAATATTAAATTGTACTGATTAAATGTTAATAATAAATCTGCAATCTGAAATATCAATAAACAGTTTTATTATAACATGACCCAACTATAAGCTAGTTCCAATTCACCTTTGATAAACAATTTGTATGTGAAAACAAGGCTCTAGATCGATCGTCCATACTACAATGGTAACATAGCCTGCATACCAATTCACTACTCTCTTCTGTGCCTGAAATTGAGTTATTTGTTATTTAATGATACAGGTCCATTCAGTACAAATAAATGTAGACTTGACACCAGCTCTTATACAAATACAACAGACATTTTTATTTACCAGTTTCAATAGTGTGCTATTTAGTTTTGATATTATATATCCTATTATGATCTATTATATAATTTAAAGGTAAGATTATAATCTAATGCCCCAAGTAAGCTTTTAATGATACCATTAAGTAAGTTATGACCTTTTTTAAACTGTACATTTTAAAATGATCATAACTTACTTAAAAATAATAATATCAAAAAAATCCTAATTGATTGCCTAGATAATAACCTTACCTATTAATTTTATAATGAGTCAATTCACTACAATATCAAAACTAACAGCACACTATTGAAATTGGTGAATGAAAATATGATATGTCACATGTGGGCCCAACGTCCTCTTAAAATACAAATTTACATTCATACACTTTACCATATCAATCACAGATGTTTTAAATAAAAAGATAAATATAATATTTATTAATTTCTTAGTTACCTATTAATTCTGTTATTTTTGGTAGGAGTCCAACTTTTAAAATCTCATCACTAAGTGTTACATCAAATGATAAATTGTATAAAAATTTAATAGTATAATTTTCCAGACTGGAATTTTTCATCATGAACATTTTGGGTAATTTTTCAACAATTGAATATTTTTTCTAAAATATAAATATAAATATTTTATTCAAATTTATAACATTTTATCGTTGACATTTAAAATAATGAAGAGAAAACTTAAGTCTTAAAGTTGTATACAATCTAATATCTATTCATATCATCATTATAGTTATAAATGTATAATAATTGAACAAATATAATATAATGTACTAAATACTAATAAATAATATAAGATATATAACTAGAGCAATTTATTATCGAACACTATAAACTATTTTTTTTTTTTTTATAAAAATTATTATAATTAAATTAGACTTACCATTTTATCTACATGTTCTTTATAAACTGATAATTGAATTAATAATTTAATACTCATTAAAAGTAAATCAGTACTTGTTCTATCTAATAAAAGACATAATAACTTTATAATGCCTTTGCGAACAACTTTTTCTTCCATAGTTTTATCAATTGTTAAGTTATATATTAGTTCAACAGCACCTAATACAATTTAAATATTCAATAAACAGTTATTTAAATATAAAATCTTATGTATTTTGAATATTTTATAGTGAGAAAATATAAAATTAGTAAACTATAGTGAGTGTAACAATTAAATAATAATTAATGTATATTGGCTTTATGCATTTAAAAGTATTTAATATTAATTAACCTACGAGTATACCACTAATTTAATAGATTATAAGATACATTATGTATAATTAGCTTAATTAAATTCTTTGACCTCTAATATTACACATATTTATGACACTTATGAATGAGAAGAATGATGGGTAACATAAAGTAACAAGTCAAATATTCATTATTTTTAAAACCTTTTAATTTATAGAAATATTTAGTTTAACTTTGGTGGATTCTGCTACAATACAATTTTGCAAAATAACATCAGTGAAATAAACAAATCTGCTGTTTTCAAAACAAGGGTTTTGGAAAAACATGATTTTAGTTTATATTTAACACATTATTGGACTTATTGTATTAGTCATGGCTTGACCTTATAGTTTATTATAACTTATGATTACACATAATTTAGAATTATAACAGATTTGATAAGAAATTTCATAAGCTTTAATTTGGCAGTTAAACATCATGATTTTTGTAAGTTAGCAGCATTATCAATTGTAAAAAATTAATCTACTAGTTCTCTTGACTTTTAATCTTTTAAATCTGAATGCAACGATGAATGTATTATTTTTACAATGATGTGTTGTTTTTCTGTATGTGATCGTGTAATTTGTGGTAGCAAAATGTCTCAAATTTTTAACATCAACATCTTTTCTGATAGAAAAGTGAACCTATACTCCGTTCCACGAGTGAAAATACTTTGCCCCAACTAAATATATATAAATCCACTCCATATGTAAATAAATATTTTAAATAACTATCACCCACAAATTCAGTGGCGCCGATCACTGTATATATCTATGACATATGTCATAGTAGATTTTATACCTGGGAGGGGCCCACCAAGGGTTACTGGGGCCCGGTTGTGGTCCTGGGACATCTGAAGACCGCCTAGAAGGCCTAGTTAAAATTTCTTGTGAGAGTGACATTGTGATTGATAAAGATTTAGTAGTAGATTTTTTGCACAAAAAAGTAATGTATTGATTAAATCATTAATTTTATAAGATTTTAACTATTAATTAAATAAAAGCTTGATTATGTAGTATTTTGGTAATTATTATGTTATGCTATTTTGTATTATGAATATTTAAATGATAATAATAACTAATTAGTTCTCGATTTCATATGGTTTATCTTAAATGGGTCGGTCACAGCTTAGTCACTAGGTAATAGCTTACATATGTTTAAACGTATTAATTAAATATTTTTTCAGCTAATGAATGAAAAAAAAAATGATTATACATTAAATATGTAGTTATGTGGGTAGTTTGTTTCGCATTCAATTGTTACATTGAAAAAAAAATTGGGGGCCCAAGCTCCAGGAGGGGCCCCTAGATTTATGATGTCATAGTATTTTTTAAACACTTCGGCGCCAATGCCCACAATTCCGAAAATTTTAGAGATTGTTCTCTAACAGTAGATTCATAATAATTTTAAATATTTAAAATTAAATTTAAAAAAAGTACAGTTCATTAGATGTGTAGAGAAGTCAGCGAAATAGGTGTGTTAAATTTGAATTCAATGATATAAAATTATTACATATGAAAAACAATTCTGATCTGAGTAATTTGGTCTGTCACTCTATATTATTTTACTATGAGGCATTAACATATAGTAGGTTATATTAATTTTTTGCAAAAAAAAAAGGATTTGATAATTTCATTGTGTATATAAAATATAATAATATATTTTAAAAGTTTCAAATACCCAAGGACAATATTTTTAAATTACAACTCTCCTTTCAAATATCTAATTTCTTGCAAATTTGAACTTTAAATATGTGTAAAAGCTTTTTGACTGAATATAAAGGGCCCGTGTAAATATCTCAAAACATGTGATAATATTTTGAGAAAAGAAAATTATAAAATAAACATTTGGTGTAAGTACCCACGATTACTCATTTTTGAATATCAATAGAATAAGAAAATCATTCCATGAGAAATCTAGTGAATATCCAATGTTGTAAAAATTTGAACATTAAACGATCACAAATTTTAATTTGACTTTCTGGTACACATTAGTTTTGCTCAAGGTAGACAAACTTATGAGGAGTCTTGTATTAAATGTTAAAATTTCTGATGAAAAAAGAAACATTTTTATATCTGCATTAAATTTTAAAAAAAAACTAATAAAAATAGAAATTTTCAAACAATCTAAGTAGCTTAATACGAGTCAAAATATTTATTGGTGCATGTAAAATTTTAATATAAACATTTAGTGAAAATGTCATGCTTCTAAGGCCATTTTTTTTATTTACACAAAAAAATGTATTTATTTAAAATCACCGTATTTTCTTATTTTTTTTCTGACGCTTTTAAAAATTATAGGAAATTTGGACTTCCCAAATTATCAATTTCACTTCCCTGCCTGAAAAGATACTTTAGTTAAAATCAAAGCATCATTTCACCTAAGCATCGTGTACATACACACAAAAAAATAAATATATCATTGTAAAATCAATACATTTCTTGCTCAGAAATGGATGGTCTCTTCTCTCGCGCCCCCTGTCTGAATTGTAAATAATTGTAATTATCAACCCGTTGTTTATTACTTATTATTTCATATTTTCTATATTATTCTATCCTAATATCACTTGTACTTATTGTAAAACCTAATTTACAGATTGTACAATTCTCTTGTTTAAAAAAAAAAAAAAAGAATCTAAAGAATATTGTTTAAAAATATTACATAATACACAAATAAAATAAAAAGAAACAGACCTTTTAATGCTTGATCCTGATTTTTTCCTAATTTAAATAAGTTTCTTCTAAGCTGGTGGACTGCTAATTCATCTGGACTTCTAGCCGATATTCCTGTTTTTATACTATTGGTGTCTAAAGATTTTTGGGTCTTATCTAAACAGAAAAAATAATAATAAATTAGTAGGTATGTGTATAAAAGTCTGTAATTAATAATATTTACCTTTTACAGTTTGTTTTGCACTTTCAAAAGATGCAGAATGCCTTCGACTGTCACTATTAGTACTAGCACTTACAGGTATTTGGCTTCGAACAATTTTAGATGTTATAGGAGCACTTCTAGGAACAGGCAGTTTTGAAGGTGTTGGTACTTTTGATGGTTTGGATTCACGAGGAGCACTTACTATTTGACTTTTAAGCTTATCATAACGATTCAATTCATATTCTAGCACTTCAACACACAACAAACAAATCTATGTAAAAGAAAATTTATAAATATTAGCAATGAAAAATAATATATGTATATAAATATAATTTTTAACTGTATTAAAAGAAAAATGGAATAAAATAAATAAAATAGAATCAAAACTAACTTTGTGGTCAATGAGCATTTTATGAAATATTTTATAAGCAGAAAAACAAAGAAATATGTTTATTATATTTGAACTAAGTTCAAAACTCTTGCGATATTCTTCTCGAAGAACTCTTGCTAAAGCGCTCATGGTTGGCTCTAGAAAACATAGGAAAATAATTTTTAAAAAATGTAATTATATTTCTTTATAAAATATTTCTAAATATATTTTATAATCAAACTACATAAATTTTATAAAATAAAGTGTTATCAATATTTCATTAATTGATAATTTTTAGGAACTTTAATATATTATTAACTATTTTATGAAGATAATAATATATTATTGATTATTTTATGAAAATTGAATGATTTTAAGAGATGGCAATGGTATATTTAGTATCTTATAGTCAAATATTATTAAAGCTTAGGTGGATTAGTGTAATCATCGAAACCCTTAACATATTAACTATAAATTATAATACCTGATGATGATAGTTCTTCAAGGTTATCTTTATCACAGGTTACTTTCAGTATGAATCCAGACCCACGAACTTTTTGAGGCATATCATCATATAACATTTCAATATATTCATCAATTTTAGCCAAACTTGCTTTATCTTCTGGCATTAAACCACATATGTGATATATACTAGATGGACTACTTTCTAACCCCAATTGATTTTTGTCCTCTTTAATTTTGTTATCTATAGTTAAATAGTTAATTTAAGGTAATGAAAAAATAATTTAAGTGATTTGTATTCATTACTTGCAGTTGAGCGAGTTTGCAAATAGTAAATTAAATGCTCTACATCATATAGTTTGGTTTCGTGTATAAGGTTACATTTATGTATTACTTCTTTTGCCAATGCTCTACAATCTGTATTACTATTCAAACTTTTTAAATGTATTACTTTTTGACATTCCTATGAAGTAGAAAATATTTATGTAGAAAATAATAAAGTATGATTAAATACTACATATTAAATTATAAGTTGTAAGTATCATTGTAAAAATTATGTTTCAATGTATAGTATTTTGCAAAATTTGTACTGCGCTAAAAATGAATTTATCTTATTTTGGTAATAATCTTTAACACTATACATTTTTATAATTTTGATTTAAACATGTTTAATTTTTACCTTGTGTTTATTATTATAAATTACTATTACTATCACTTATGTTATAACATTGTATTTCTGACTATGAACTCCAATTCACATCATTGATATTGGCATTAATGAGTAAACTAATAGTTAGGGCAAGGACTTCGATGCAAAGTGTATATTTTGTTGGCTGATCTTAGACAATGCTTTTCAAGTACATAATCTGTCTTATAAAACAGATACATCAACGGTGAAACATTCATTTTTTGCATTTTTTAGCATTTAACATATTTATATAATTTTTTTAATGTTTAGGTAGTAAATTATTTTAAGTTTACTATAAATTATAAATTAACAAGCTACCTAATACAACATTGCATTAAAAAAATAATTTTATTTGTCAATAATTTAGAGTATTATTGTGGTAAAGTACATTTTTGACTGTTTTTTTAAAGCATTTTTTTATGGTTTTTAGAGAATTTAAAACTGGGCCCTAATAATAGTATATATTAACTGGTATTTCCATTGTTATTATTGGTAATGGTTAAATTGAGTTTATTTTAAAAAAAAAATTGTATCAATATAAAATATTTAAATTACTAAATAAATATTGCTTAGAGGACTCTTGTCAAAAACACTTAAACGGATATTCTTATACAAGAATTTAAAGAAATTATACTTCACAAACATTTTAAAAAACCCTTAAATAATTATTTTAATCTTTCAGAACATTTATGGATAGATACACTTTTAATAATTAAAATAAATATTACCTTATGATCGCCTATTACAGGTTCTCCATTTTCACCAAGAACAAATGCATCTAGTTCATAATTTACTACAATAGCAGGTTCTGTTGGATGTGCATCTACAGCTCCAGATCTTACTCTTCTGTGAAATTAATGTGGTAACATTCAAATAAACTTTTAGTTAAGACATTTAAAAAACAGATGGTTTAAAATTCACTGAATAACTTAATATTATTATGCTTAGTATTTAAATGTTAAAGTAAATTATTATTACTCTAAGACTATTAGAGTAATTTACTAAAAAATTACAATTATTGCTGACTATTTTGAGAAATCAAATGCACTTTTAGTTAACAATAAGCATATTTATTTGCAAATGTTTAAGTTCATTAGATTAAGTTAATTCGTAAGCAAGATACATATAAATTCTATATTAATTTGCAATAATTATTTGATATGATTGATAAAATCAAATTAATTCTAATGTACATTAACAATTATGTATAAATGTGGTAAGTAAAATAAAAAGGAGAATATTGTTACATTTATTATTGTATTGTTTTGTTTTCAATATATAGCCTAAATTTAATTTTAAACCTATACCTACATGAGATTTTTTATCATACTTTTAATAACAACACTTATTCTCAAGTAGAGTATTAATGAGCACGTAGATAAATAATAATCTACTTCTTCGGTACCTACTATAATAATAGTATTAAAAAAAATATCCAAAACATACATATAGTTTTAAAAAAAATGATCTCACTTTAAACAAACAATGCTAACCGCAACATTTTCAGATAAAACACGGAAGTAATTTAAATTGAAAAAAATAATTAATGTGAAAAATGTCTACACAGTGATACATGAGTGTTTGACTTAAGTAATTTGAAAATAATGTTGGTAGATGGTAAGTTATGTATGCAATTTTCTATGTACCTAGGTATTTAACAAAATTTACCATTTAAGTTAAATTTCTTTAAAAGATCTGATGTATAATTATAGTAAAGTAACACATATTATGTTACATCTTAAATGCAAATAAAATTAGTTTATAGCAGACGTTGCAAATGTAAGATGTATTTTGTTTTTGATTCCTTAGAATACGAACTAGTGCCTGTATAAGAAAAACATGTAAATTGAACAATAAAATATCAGTCTACAGAAATACAATACAATTATATTAATGCCGCCAAACAACTACCTACTTAGAGGCAACAAATATGTAATATATGAACCACTAACAGTTTGATGAAAAAGAAGGTGATTTGATATAAGAAATATTATTTTTTTTAAACAAATTACGAATTATTTAAATATAAAATATTTCAAATTAAAAATGAGGATCAATTCAATAAAGAAAAATTTTAAAGCCCGCTATATAGTATTAAAACAGTTCATACATCTTGTGTTGAGAAAAACCGTGCATGTATGGGAGTATATGTGAAAATACGAGACAATAGAAATATAGACCTAACATTATATGATTGATAAATAAATAAATAGACCTCACCGTTTTATATAATGCGTTCCTTCAGCAATCATTGTGGAGGTGAAATCCTGCAATCAATGCGATACTGAAAACAAAATGCTTCACCGATTTGTGCAAATGATCGACTTAAAACGTCAACAAGGTTTCAAACGTCATATAATGTTTTTCATGAATAATCATACCGCGCGTGTGCGGTGATAGGACATTTTGCGTAAAATCACGATTGTAATCGTCAATGGAAAGCTTAACGGCTGCTGTGCAAACAGATGAAAACACTGTGAACTCAACGTCAACTATTGTAAATACACCTGACGATGGAGGCTGTATCGGATTAAAGCCACCAATGTTGCATTATATTTTACCTCATTTAAAAAAATTATTGTTACGATATTAAAATAATAAAAATCGTCGATCAAAATTAAGTAGACACCGTCCTAATCATAATATTCATAACAAACAATGTCCGATAAGGTGTATCAGCATCGGGCGTCTTATCAACAATTTGCGTTATCAACCACTGTGGCTAATCTAATCCACAGCTTCTATTCTACTATATAGATATTATCCGTGGTCTAATCCGTAAACATTAGACATAATATGAATGTATGGTCTAATCCATCGGTTTTCAAACTTTTTTTTTCGAGTACCACTCATGTGTACAGTGGCGTAGCCAGGGGGGGCTGAGGGGGCTTCAGCCCCCCCCCCCCCCCCC